GGAGTCCATAAGGATGCTGTCAGGGTACTGCAAGGTACTATACAGGGTGCTATAAAGGTTCTGTCTGAACTTCCCTTCGTCGCTTCGTTTTATCGGGGTGCTTTTTTTCGGGGAGAGCCCAATACCCATTAATCATGGAATAGACCTGGAGTCATAACGTTAAGACCCTCATAGTCTACAATCGAATCCGTCGAGTTTGAGGTGTACTCCGCACTTAAGGGGTCTTTGGTTCTCTGGGTTCAAGGGCGAGAGCTCGAAGATCCGAAGGTCCGGATAGCCCTTCTATAGCCTCCAGAGGAACTTCGGGTTGAGGTGTTAAGAAGGGTTTCAGGGTTAAAAAGGTTAAGGGTTTAAGGGTTTAAGGGTTTGAGGGTTAAACGGTTTAGAGCCAAAGGTCTAGTTTTGGGTTAAAAGTTTTAGGGCTTAAAGCTTTACTTTTGGGTTGAAGGGTTTAGGGCAGAAGCTTGGGGGGCCTCAATCAAGAGGGGCAGACTCGATTCTGCAGGCTTTCGTTGCGTCAGGCTCTGATGGGACTTACTGATTACATATACTATTCAGGGGCGGCTCCTTAGTATAATCATATTATCATATACCCCAAAGACCCTATTCTAATTATTAGGGCCCGCCTATATTCGCCTCATAGATATGTCGGGGGCTTCAACTCTAAGGCTAACCAGCACCCCCTACCTACCCTCTATTATTAAACCTTTAGAACTGCCCACTGCTAAGGACCAGAAGGGCTCTATGAAAGGGTGCTTGCAAGGCGGGTTGCTACAAATAGTGATTGCTTGAGGGTGGAAGTTTCAGGGGTGAAAGTAGCCCTGCGCCGTATAGCCCAAGCAGTTCTATCCTCGAAGCCCCTCATGCCAGGGCCCCGCTGTTTCCAACGAGCTCTTCACGCCAACACAGCGCTTCGGAGGTGAATGCCGCTTGAGCTTTGGAGTTGCTTTGTAAGGGTTTTAAGGCCCTCCCTTCTAGTGTTGCCCTAAACCCCAAACCTTACTTGGAGGATCATGGGACTTAGTAACTGTAGTTATACGTCCCTCAATTGGGGTTATAAGTAATTATAAGTATAGTTACCCCAATAGTAACCCTAGTTACTAAGTCCCATGATCCTTTAAGTACACCTGGCTGGGAAGAGAAGGGTGAGAGGTTGGCTTCAGGAGGAGCCCTCCTGGGCCCCTTCTGTTGGAGGGCTCCGGTCTTCCAAAGCCCCTGAACCCTAAACCCTATATACCCTGCACACCCCTAAACCATAAACCTAAACCCTGCGCTGTTACACACCCCTAGACCCTAAACCCCTGTACCCCTTCAACCCTACACGCCCTAAACCCCAACATCCCACGAGCCGGTTCAACCCTCATTCTCGGCCTGGGAGGCTTTTGTTTGTAGCTTGCGGCACTTTCGGCCGTTTGTGGGAGAAGTGGACACCAGGTGCTTTGAAGGATACTGGCTGATGTCTAGCAATCTGTCTCCCTCGCTCGCTCGCTCTCGCTCTCGCTCTCGCTCTCGCTCTCGCTCTCTCGCTCGCTCTCGCTCGCTCTCTCTCTCTCTCTCTCTCTCTCTCTCTCTCTCTCTTTCTCTATGTGTTTGTATGTATACATATATCATATATCTACAGACGCATGTAGGTCTTTAAAAAACGTAATCCCGTCTGATCTACTACAAGATAATACCGTACAAAATGATACAATACATAGTATAATGTAAAATACTATCTAATATATCATAATATGAGATAATATCATATAAGAAAACATAAATCTGTGAGTGCGCGCCGGCCCAGATCCCCGAAAAGCTATCGCCTGCAGCAGCACCGGCACCAAGTCCCGACATCTGAACTCTAGGATGCCCAGTAGTGCCTTTTTGTAGTCCTAGGTTCCTTATAAAGTTACCCAATACCAAAAAGAGAGGCCTTTTTATTCTTAGGTTACTGGGTATCCTAGAACTCCTTCTGCTGCCAGGCCTCTCCGGCTTGCTCCCGGTGCAGAGCGAGTCCCCAGGTCAGGTGTGCTTCGGGGTTCCCTAAACCCAGGTTGGGGTTTAGGGGTTTAGGGTTTAGGAGTTTAGGGTTTAGGGTTTAGGGTTTAGGTAATCCCTGTAGTGTCCTTATAAAAGGAACCAGCTCCGCAAGTGTGTGGGAGTTTTAATGGATCCCAATGTGATGCTACATGATAAACTCTTACTACAAGAATCACCAAAAAGGGATACCTGGTTTCAAGAAACATCCATACACCCCGAAGCTGCCCCTGAAGACACATGTCCAACCAAGTGAAAGCGGATGGCCGTGGCCCTTGGATTCCAGATAGTCCTCTGTGGCACTCGCTACCGGAGCAGGGAGAAAACTTCATAGCCTTCATAGACCTGCACGCAACTCTGAACCCGGAATTCCAAATTCCGCCTCCCCCATACAAGAAAGAGACAGCAAGGCTCATCAAGATCACGGCAAAGCAACAAGACTAGTCAGCATGTGCTTCCGGCGATCCATCAACCTGCAGCAGGGGCCCTTACACCCTAATGCCTTACAGTGACCCTTGTAGATACTCTTAGTCGCTGTTATTGGGAAGCCCCCAATGGTAACCTTAAGCCCTAAACCCCAACACCCTGTCCGACAGGTTCTTGTAACATCGGAACGATGGCGGCGGCTCTCAGGAGAAATGCTTCCTGTTGCTAAGGGGTTCAGAGGTTTAAGATTTAGTCTTTTGGGTATAGAGTTCAAGGTTTGTCTGTTTAGGGTGTAGGGCTTAGGGTTTCGGGCAGAGGATATATAGGGTTTAATTAGGGGTTCAGGGTCCAGATTGAATCCAACAGCTTTGCAAGTACAGTACAGAATCGGTGATGCCGCAGCCTGAATCGTTACGCATCTTATTCCTTATGGTTCTTGGCTCCAAAGCCTCAATCTGACTATGAAGCCCCCCTAGAGTATGTTTCCTAGCCAACCTACAACTCTTGATCGCTCAGGCAGGTTTTGTTTGGCCGCAGAAAGTGACTATTCATTGCTGGCAAATCATGTGTGTCCTTAGCAGTCTTTGTCATCGGGATGTTGCAAATCTTACAAAGATTTTAACCCTAAACCCTGAACCCCTAAGCCCTGAACCCTAATTCAACCCTGAACCCTAAGCTTATGCACTGTGACGAAACCGCGGGAGCTTTTTACTTAAAGAGTTCCCGATTGTTTCAACCCAGCAAACCCCGCCAATCCAGATTTTCGCAGCAGGTTTAGGTTCTTGGATTTTAGTTTTGCATATGTTTGCATTCTCCTTCGTATCGCCATCGTCTTCAACTTCTTCAACTTTTCGTGCCCTCGAATCCCCACAGCTTGCAGCCTACCCTAAGGCCCAAAAACACCAAACCCTGCAACTTAACCCTAAACACCAAAACCCGAAAGCCTAAGCCGGAAAGCCGCAATCCCAAAAGCTGAACCTAAACCCTAGAACCACAGCACCAACTAAGCCCCGGGAATGAAAACATGCAGTAACCTTGTAGTGCAGTATCCCTTTCGTAGAAACCCCTAAACCCTGAACCCCAAAGCCCCAAAATTCATCTGAACCCGAAGCCCTGAACACCTGGTCTTGGGACTGCAGACGCCTGGTGCAGATGTAAAAAGGTCCGACAAACCTGTAACTCAAACCTATCTGAACCTTAAGCCCTGAACCCGAAACCCTTAACCCCAACATAGGCTCCACCTGGTAAGGTATTCCCTCTTCTAATGCAGTCGGAAAAGGGCCTGCAAAAAAAAAAAACCCTTAACCCTAAGCCCTAAACCCTCCCTAAACCCTAAATCCCAGACGATAAGCCCCTTTTTGCAGGAGCCACAGCGCCTCCCTCCTCGAGGAGCCCTTGCCGGAGGCTCCGCAGGAGGAAGTCGGAGAAGAGGAGCTCGGGGCGTGGCTCCTGCCAGGGGCTTAGGGTCCTTTAAGGGTTACTATAAGGCTTACTATAAGGGTTTCGTTTCTTTGTTTAAAAAGGGAGAGGAGATTTTGAGACAGAGAGGGAGCGAGATCATTAGGATTCATAGGGTTTTTCGGTATTTCAATCAATTGGGATGGCTTTTTATCGGTTTCCAGAGGATTTTCGATAGAATCTGGAGGTTTCCGGCGTCCGGGCTTTCGAGAGCCGTTGGTGGAGGCTTTTGTGACTGAGCCAGGTTGTGTTGGTTGGGTTTACGGTTTAGGGGTTTAGGAGTGTTTAGGAGTGCAAGGTTTGAAGTTTAGGGTTCAGGGCTTAGGGCCTTTTTGTAACAGGGCTTTGAGGATGGCTTTTGAAGGGATGGTGCAGAGGCGCAGGTATGAAGTTGGACCCCGGACGCCGCAGAAGAGGTATTATAGGGGCCTTAATAACCTATACTATTTTGCGGGCTCCTTATTAGGTAGTATGGTATAATACATCGCAAAACTCCCAAAACCCTATCAGCGCCCCTATATTGCCAGGAGTCAGGCGTCTCGTGACTTGATTTGCGGCTCATGCTGATGGGAACATGTTTAATTGTGTTCTTCTTGGCTCTTCAGTCTTGCAAACTATTCCTTTGCTTATGAGTATGGATACTGTTGCTATCACCATTGCCACTTCGCCACACTATTTCTGGCATGACTGTTTGGAGGAGGCAAAAGCCCCGGTACTTCAGCGGGAGGCCAGGCGCTGCGTAATTATGAAGTTTCTCTTCCTGCATGTCATCAGAGGGCATTGCACGCAGCTTCCGTGGAAGAGTGTTCAAGCAATAACTTATGCTTGTTTGCACGGTACTGTCAGAGTCACATTCCATTCGCTGATGTGTTGAAGGGCTCAAGTGGCCCGCAAAGACAGGGCGGAGTCGAGACGCAGGCTTGGCTATTGGAAGAGTTTATGGGTATTCTATGTTATTCTAGTGTTCTTGTGGAAGGCTTCCTTTGTCGAAACTTGCTCACCACTCGACTCCTTTGCAGGCTCACTTCTGTTCATTGTGACTTTCTTTCGGCACACACTTTTGGCAGCGTGAAGCTGCAGCTCTGTAGCTGTCTGCCATGATTGCCAGCCAGCGCGTTCCCGAAATCGAGCCCCGCAAGCGGGCGCGCCACCTCTCTCCACCGAAGCTTCAGGCCGGACCCCTCACATGAGACCCCCGGGTTCCAGAACCCTAAACCCGATTCCATCCTAAACCCTAAACCATCGAAAACCCTAAGCAATCCTGAAACCTAAACCCTCAACAACCACAAAAACCTACATTACACCGACCTTGCAGCCTAAACCCGAAACCATCTTGTTTTCCTAAGCCCCAATAGTAAAGCATACATAAACCCAAAATTAACCGTTTTCGTAACCCTTATAGTAACCCTTATCGCAAACCTTACAGTAACCCTTGTAGTAACCCTTATAGTATCCCTTAAAGTAGCCCTTATAGTAACCTTTATAGTATCCCTTAAGGGTAACCCTTAAACCCCTAAACCCCTCGACATCTCTGGGAGGACATCAAGGCGGAGCTGACGCGGCGCGCTGGCGAAGAGTTCGAGTTCGTGACGAAATGCGACACCAAGCACAGCGAGGTACCTGAAGAAACAGGGGGGCGTGTTTCAGGGTTTAGGGTCTTTTGGGATTTAGGGTTGGGACTTTAGAGTAGGCTTGAGTTTGTCAGTTTCGGGTTCCAGGTTCCAGGGTTTTTGTTGTTGACTTCCGCTCTGCTGAGACCCTGCGCAGGTGTACTTTCTTCTATGTTCGCAGTGGTTGCAGCAGTGGAAAGACTTCATCCGAACCAAGGCCTCCCCCCCAGGTCCCATTTCCAACCACAACTTGGTTGGGCCGGATGGTTGCCCGAAGCCGAACAAGCAGCCAATCAAAGACTACCGCGGAGTGAACGAAAAGGTGTGGAAGTATTGGCTGTCTCGCTATGGTGGAGGTCCGGAGATCAAGCGCCATAAATTGGAGTTGTACCAGCAGAAGCCACAAGCACCACCTCAACCGCCCTCTAAGGTGTCCCCCAAAACCACGCCGGTGGCGACCAGGCCCTCCGTGGCCCAGCCCCAGCCCCAGTCACAGTCCCCTCCAACCGCCCCACCACAGCCGTCACAGGCACAAGCAAGACAGGCACCAGGAAAGCGCAGCTATGGCCCAGCCCCAACACCACAGCTCCCTCCCTCCGCGCCCTCGGCGCCCCTAGCCCCGGCTCAGCCTAAGCCCCAGTTCTCCGAGAGGCAGGAGAAGAAGCCAGCCCAGAAGCGCAAGCTCACATGTGACAAGTGTGATGGCAACCATGCTACGGAAGACTGCCCACACTTCAAGAAGCCAAGAGACCATCACCCAGACGCATGGAATCTCGTCGGCAAGTCACACCTCGTGGCCGCCAGCCAGGCAGACCAGAAGTTCGTGACTCGGGGCAGAATTGTGCAACAGCCCGGAGACGGTTCCTGTCTCTTCCACGCCCTGGCCTTCGGCCTCGGGGGGACCTCAGCTCGTCAGTTGCGCGAGGAGGCGGCACAGCTCATCGAGAGGCAGCCCCAGTCCCAGATCATCGGCACCGCGCTCCAGGATTGGGTGAAAATGGACTCGGGCCGCACCGTGGGGGGCTACGTCCACCAGCTTCGCCGGGGTGCTTGGGGCGGTGGCATCGAATTGGCCGTGCTGGCCAAAAGCAGGAGGGTGATGGTGGAAGTCTATGAAGCCCGAAAGGGTGGCTTTGCCCGCATCGCCAAGTTTGGTGAGGGCAGGAAGGCAGTGCAGGTGCTGTACCAAGGCCGGCTGCACTATGACGCGCTGCTGCTCAACTGAACTTGAGCGAATCATGCGCAGAATGTAGGGATTTTACAGTACATGTACTCAGGGCCCCTTTCAAAGGCCCTCTCACTTTCCAGAAGTTCGTCATGTGGTCAGTGTCTCGGTTACGAAGGTATCACGTCTCACGTCACAGGTACTGCGCAGCACCCTGTCAAAAGGTGGCTGCTGTCACTTCTGAGGGCTGGGGGGACCTCCGTGGCGACTCCGGGCCATTGCTGCCAGTGCTCTTACACTATTAGTCATTCTTATACATTGTTATGATTAATAATAGGCATACAACATAGTAATGGCAATGATACAATACTGGTGGTATATTGCTACTAGTGTTATACTATGACTACCATTACAATAACTGCCACACCTACTACAATTCGTATAGTCACTATAATTACAAGAACTTTTATATAACTGCTATAATTACTACGATTCGTATTCATACTTTTATAACTGCTATAAATTACTATAACTCGTATTCTGGGGCTTTGGTGGAGAGCTGCCAGGCCAGCGGCTCCCGGCTCTGCTGCCACGTGAACGAGCTCCGAAGGGACCCGAGCTGCCGGGTGAGGGCTTTAGGGTTTCAGGGTAGGGTTACGATGAGGGTTACTATAAGGGTTACTATAAGGGTTACTATTTTGGTTACTGTAAGGGTTACTATAAGGGTTACTATAATTATAAGGGTTACTGTAAGGGCTACTATCAGGGTTACTATAAGGGTTACTATAAGGGTTACTGTAAGGGCTACTATAAGGGTTACTATAAGGGTTTTAGGGTTTCAGGGTCTTAGGGTTTAGGGTTTAGGGGTTTAGGATTTAGGGGTTAGGGGTTTAGGGGTTTAGAATTTAGGGTTTAGGGGTTAGGGGTTTAGGGTTTTAAAGGGAACTCCAGAAAGTTGGAATATGGTTTCAGGGTGGGATACCTTATAATTTACCATAGAAGGGTTAGGATAATCATATTCCAACTTTCTGGCTTTTACTTTAGGATTTAGGGTTTCAGGGTAGGGTGAGTATAAGGGTTACTATAAGGGTTACTGTAAGGGTTACTATAAGGGTTTTAGGGTTTCAGGGTCTTAGGTTTAGGGGTTTAGGGGTTTAGGGTTTAGGGGTTTGGGGGTTTAGGGGTTTAGGGTTTAGGGTTCACTGGTTTAGGGTTTAGGGGTTAAGGATTAAGGTTTCAGGGTTTATGGTTTAGGGTTTGTGGGCTAAGGGCCTATCTGACGAAAGTTGGTAGATGGCTTCCACAGCTTAGGACTTCGAGAGGTGACCCAGGAGTAGTGTGTACAGTTGGATTTGCAGCGGACGGTAGCATGTGAGTCAGGCTTCCATCGTAGACCGTGCCATGAGAGTTGAGCGGATATAGCATGCAGCTGTCAGTAGTCTTGCCCGCCGCTGCGAGGAGAGCTCACAAAACCTGCTCGCCCGGGAGGTGCGTGGGAGGGCATGAAGGGGTCGCGGCCACAAGCCCTAAGCCTGAAGCCCGCAGCTGTGTGGGGCTTGAGAAACAAGCCCGAAGCATGTTGCTGTGAGGAAGCTGTGAAATTCCGAACCATCTAACCTCTAAGCCCTAAGCCAAAAACCCTAAACCCGAAACCCTAAACCGCAAGCCCTGAGCTCTCACCATAGGCCAGTGTCACACAGATGTCGACGACGGAAGGCCCGGAACTCAGAGCGCACCGGGATTCGGTACATCCCTGAGCTGCTCAAGCCCAAAACCCCAAAACCCATTATATATCTATATGATATAATATATATATATATATATATATGTATATATTATGTATGTAATGCAGGAACCTGATTAAGAAACCCTGGGCCTATAACGCCCAAAAAAGTGGGATTCATACAAGGAACCCTAATGAAGGCCCAAGGTTTCTTAACCAGGTGCCGACAGTACCCTAAAGCCCAAAGACACAACATCCCTCATTGCTGATACTGAGGCGATGAGGAGATTGCTGAGGCGCTTGAAGCGGGCAGGATGAAAGAGAGGGTTTAGGGCTTGGGTTTGATGTTTCAGGGTTTAGGCGTTGAGGGTTTCGGGTTTGAGGGTTTGGGGCTTGAGGGTTTGAGGGTTTAGGATGGTTTAAGGCTTGGGTTTGAGGGTTCAGAGTTAGCAGTTTGAGGGTTTAGGATTTGACGGTTTCAGGGTTTTAGAGTTTAGGGTTTAGGCTTAGGTTTAGGTTTAGCAGGCGGCGAAACCACGTTCTACTGCGCCATGCGGTTTTGTCCACATGGCTGGGAGAACTTTGGAACCCTAAAACCTTGCAAGAAGCCATTAGATTGTCTATGCCAGACATGATGACGGTGAAAGCACCGAAGAAACAGTATGCCAGACATGGTGACGCTGAAAGCCGCCTAAAACCCCGCTAGGCACCTCAGACACACTTAATCTGCAACCCGCGCATACGCAAAGATAGAACAGTGGTCTGACTAGTCTTGCTCTTGCCTGTACGCATACGCATGCGTATACTCCTGCTCGCACTTACTCCCACTCCAGCTCCTACTCCTGCTGTGCATGCAGCAGCACAAGCCGCGGTGTATTGTAGTAACCCTAACCCCCAAAAATGCAGCCCTAAAACCACCCTTAACTCATTGCATTGTACCATATTGGACCCTATGACATCAGATTGTATTCTAACCTTGTAAATTACATGCTCGGTCCACGGCCCGACTGTGATCCCCCTCCTAACCCCCAAACCCCTAAACCTAAAACACTAAACCCTAAAACCTAAACCCCTAAACGCCCCTAAACGCCCCTAAACGGCCCTAACCCTGAACCCTAAACCCTAATCCCTAAACCCTTAAACCCTAAACCCTAAACCCTGAACCCCAAACCCCTTAGACATCCCGTAAAAAGAACCCTTAAAGGAACCCTAAACCCCCAAACCCCTATAGATCCCGCAAAAAGAACCCTTAAAGGAAGTAAAGGAACCCTAAACCCCTATAGATCCCTTAAAACGAACCCCAAACCCCTAAACCCTAACCCCTAAACCCCTAAACCCCCAAACTCTAAACCCTAAACCCCTAAACCCTAAACCTCTTTATCATAAAAAATTTAAACCTTAATGGATTCGTGGTTTTTCGGGTTTTTGGCCACGAACGTGGGTTTTTTAGCTGAAAAGCCCGCACTAGTGGCCAGAAATCCCGAAAAAAAACCATGTTCGTGGCCAGAAATACCGAAAAACCAACGTTCGTGGCCCGGGATTTCTGGCCACGAACGTGTGTTTTTCGGAACCATCCCGAAAAACCCATGTTCGTGGCCAGAAATACCGAAAAACCAACGTTCGTGGCCCGGGATTTCTGGCCACGAACGTGGGTTTTTCGGAACCATCCCCAAAAACCCATGTTCGTGGCCAGGCATACCGAAAAACCCACGTTCGTGGCCCGGGATTTCTCGCCACGAACGTGGGTTTTGCGGAACCATCCCAAAAAACCCACGTTCGTGGCTAGAAATCCAAAAAAACCCACTTTCGTGGCCAGAAATCCCGAAAAACCCACGTTCGTGGCCCGGGATTTCTGGCCACGAACGCGGGTTTTTGGGAACCATCCCAAAAAGCCCACGTTCGTGGCCAGAAATCCCGAAAAACTACGTTCGTGGCCAGAAATCCCGCAAAACCCACTAACTACTTTACAGAAACAGCAATGCGGCCTTTCTGTCTTGCAGGTCGACCAGTTCGATGCATAGCAGTGGAGACAGTCTGATGTGGAAACATTGAAAGACAGTCATCGCAAAGAAACTTCACAGCTGCGGTTGCTATCGTGGAGCGATATCGTGAACGCGGCCTCAGCTGTTTCAGATTAACAGCGACTTATTGAAACGTGGGCTTGTAAATGTTAACGATGTTAATGTTGTGCTAGCATTCGGTAATAGCTGTAAGCTGTGAATGAAAGTACAACTTTTTATTTTCAGTTGTTATGGGATTCTAAGGGTGGGTGGGTGTTCTTTCTAGACCATAGACACTACTTTACTGTAAAACTGCTCGATCCGGAGCTGCTGAACCCCAAACCGTAAACCCCAACCCCTAAACGGCCCTAAACGGCCCTAAACCCTGAACCCCAAACCCTAAACCCCTAAACCCTAAACCCCTAAATCCTAAATCCTGAACCCCTAAACCCCTATACTCCTATGGATCCCGTACAAAGAACCCTTAAAGGAACCCCAAACCCCTAAACCCCTATAGATCCCTTAAAACGAACCCCGAATTCCAACACCCTAAACCCTAAACCCCTAAACCCTAAACCCTAAACCCCTAAACCCTGAACCCCTAAACCCTAAACCCCTAAACCCCTAAACCCCTAAACCCTGAACCCCTAAACCCCTAAACCCTGAACCCTAAACCCCTAAACCCTGAACCCTAAACCCTAAACCCCTAAACCCTAAACCCTAAACCCCTAAACCCCTAAACCCTGAACCCCTAAACCCCTAAACCCTGAACCCTAAACCCCTAAACATATTTACCTATGTATATTTAAACCCTAATGACCAAAATTTCGTTGATCAAAACTCGTGGCCAGTTGATCAAAACTCGTGGCCAGTTGATCAAAACTCGTGGCCAGTTGATCAAAACTCGTGGCCAGTTGATGCCCCGCCGTGTTTAGCCCCAGCGGTTTAGGGCCGTGTTTAGCCGCTACGGTTTAGGGTCCCCGCCGTGTTTAGGCCCTACGGTTTAGGACCCTCCCCTCTCCTCCCCTCCCCCCCGGGCCAGTTGATCAAAACTCGTGGCCAGTTGATGCCCCGCCGTGTTTAGCCCCAGCGGTTTAGGGCCCCGCGGTTTAGGGCCCCAGTTGATCAAAACTCGTGGCCAGTTCATGCCCCGCCGCCGTGTTTAGCCCCAGCGGTTTAGGGCCCCCGCCGTGTTTAGCCGCTACGGTTTAGGGCCCCCGCCGTGTTTAGCCGCTACGGTTTAGGGTCCCCTAGGCCCTACGGTTTAGGACCCTCCCCTCCCCTCCCCTCCCCCCCCACTCCCCTCCCCTCCCCTCCCCTCCCCTTCCCTCCCCGCC